TTTTTTTATCATGATTTATGACTTGTGAACTTCGTTTGGTAACAAACTGTTTGAGCGGTAAATCCTGAAAACAGGTCGCAGAAGGTTTGCATGAATGGTTGACGTACGACAGGGAACAAAGAATGTTGTAAAATGCAACTGATAATGACGTAATAATTGTCATTAATTATAAACACCTGCAGTACGCACTAGTATTTACAACTTAAATTTTTGGTCTTAAATTAAACATGTTCACGAAACTACTAGATATATTATATATGTATAGCTGATATGTAAAAATGTCACCCAAGGCATCAAATGCCAATATTAATACCTATAATTATATTTATTTAGGTACTATTTGTATACATATTATAATCTAATGAAGTTGCTGCAGTAAATTGATTTGTGTTCTATCAGAATGTAGAGTGATACCAGAGTCTGAAAGTTCTACATCTGAAATTATAAATTAATAATTATGGTTTTAAAAATAACAGATTATACTATCACATTTTACTAAGCAATATAAATAATATTCATTTACTGTTATTAAAATGAAGAAATCTTTGTTCTGAAGATGTATTTTGTTCAATCAATTCAGTTGACTCCAATTTCTTATATTTTGGTCGTCTTATAGGATCTTTTTTTTTTAAATTTTGCTGAAAAATTATTTGTCGGTATTTTATGTAAAAATAAATATTAAGGACTTCATGTTTAAACATATTAATATTTTATGTTCATACGAGACTATTTTGTTATTTAATAATTTACTACTAAAACTAATAATTGTAATCCTTTTAATATTTATGTGTATATACTTAATTTCACCCACTATATATTATGTATTTTTAATTTTTTTTTTTGAGAGATTCTATACTTTTTTATTGTCTCTTATTTAGGTATTTAGGTGAATTTGAATATTTTTTATAAATACTTATTTAATATAATAAATGTAAATAGACAAATAGTTGAACTCAAACAAAAATATAATTGGTATATCTCATAAATTATAAATTTAATTACTATTAGGTATAGGTAGATAAATTAGTTAAATAGTTGAACTCAAACAAAAATATAATTGGTATATCTCATAAATTATAAATTTAATTACTATTAGGTATAGGTAGATAAAATAAAAATTTTAATGCATTTCTTTTTACTTTACTTGAACATCTGAAGTGTCTGCAAGAAGTTGATGCCGTTTGAATAATATTGAACCAAATACAAAACAGGCGAGAAAAGAGACAAATATGGCGAAGAACAAGGCAATATTTTTCCCCGTTTCATTGATTTCTAAAAAAAAAAAAAATATTTTGTTAAATTTAAATAAATTGAGTAATTTTTGATGAATAAGTTTTGTTTATAATTTTATAATATAGGTTATAAAAAAGTAATTTTATTAATTTTTACCTAAATTACGAGGCTGGATAATTCTTAATGGTTGTTCTGGCACATATAACCTAAATCTATGCAAGTCGTATATAATCAAAGATCCATCAGCTAGTTTTTTAACAAGGTCTTGAATGGATTCATCTGTAGTAATATTTACATTTTGCATTAAATGTAAAGTTATATAGATCGGTTCACCTACAATAATAATGAAAAATATGTTGAATCCTTTTTTTTTTTTTTACAAGAAATATACAATCTATACAATTAAGCACAATAAGTAAATGTGAGATTGGGGTGACAAAAYATTATGGGGTTCCATGAATAAGAAGCCAGCACCCATCAGTAGTACTTAGCTTGTTTATTATGATGTGATTCTTACAACTTATTAGGATTAAGTTAGATGATTCCTACACCATTTCCTTTTCAGCCTGCGATGGGGATTTCCAGGAAGTGATGGGATTTGTAAGCCTTTTATTAGAGGATTTTCTAATTTATTATAAAACYGTTTATAGAAAATAGCAGCTTTTCTTCTACTGTTTTTATACCTATRGGTCTTTGTGGATGGTGTTAAATCCTACATTATTTTTAAAAATAAACATTTTTTAAATTTCTCTTTTCATTGATCTTAAGCGCCGGCAAATATGACTATTAGCATTTTTGTAGGGAGGTTAGGGTTGGTTGAGGAACATGTGTATSTGCGCTGAGAATTCGTTACTAAAAATCTGAGTGGTCACCTACCCGGCCATCCGGAAATTATAGTGACGGTGGCCGACGCTTGACCTYAGAACACGTAAGTGTATTAGACCAACCATCGAGCCACACCCGGTCCCAAAATAAACGTTATATACGTAATATGGTACATACATAATCAGGTATATACTTCTACATTGTGATTGTCAAGCACTAAAATTAGAGGTGAAATTTGAATTGTTTTCATAAGGAAGCAAAAATATAAGCAGACAAATTTTTTTTATTATATTAACATTTAAATATACATTCATAATGATATTTGGGTTCCTCAGTTCCTCTATATAATTAGAGTCTATACCCTATAAGATTTATCTTGTTATTTGATTTAWGTTGTATTTTGGGTTACCAGAAATATGGTCTATCCAGTTATAATGCATTATAAGTAATTAATTTCTTGAATAATTATATTTAARTGATGTGAWTAATACATTATTGGATTATTTTCAAATATTAAAATAACTTACTCATAATCAATTTCAGTTCTTTCAAAACTGAAGAAAGTGATACAATTTTTTCCATTAATTGTCGACTTAAAGAATTTTCTAAATCCCTTATGTTCTGATCATGTAAATCAGCAGGATCCCCATTTATTCTGTTGACGTGAGTACAAATAATAAGTTACTTTTTATTGTTGAATGTATTTGATACAAATTCTAATTGCTTAATTGAAAACTTAAGACACGAATACCTAC